CTAAAAAAGTATCACCACTATACGTTTTTGAAGATAAACGATGTTATAAAAGAATCCCTATCTTTTATAAGAATAAAGTACATTTCGTTGACACACTTTCACGAAGAACCTATTTCTGGGATACCGCAGTTCCATGTGGATCAGAAAATAGCCACAACGTAGTACAACTAAACCCTGATGAAGATAAATATTACCTTCTCACCCCATATCCCACATTAATGCAATCACTCAAAAAATTTTCACCAGAAAGCATTCGCGCTATCGCTCGAAACCCAAATATAGACTTACAATCAATAGGAATATACTCAAAATCAGATATTCAACATCACATTAGAACACAACAATTCCAGGAATTATTAACACAAATGGACACAATACAAAGACAATCAATTGACCAAAACTTACGCAAACTTGCCGAAACCGCAGGATTTGCAGACATCTATACGCAAGACTATAGCGGATATTTTAAAGACATTAAAGATTATATATATCTAAACGGTGAAAAATACCGTCCCCAAGATATATCACCTATCAATATTTTTAGCTTTGTTACACTCAAGAATGAAATTCTTGATTTTCTAGGATGGCCCTACTACATCTTAGAAAAACTAACTATTTTATACGCAATGTTTAACTTTATTGGATTTCTTTTTTCACTCTTAAAAGGAATCTATAACACATGTGCTATACACACACAAGTCAATAGACAAGCAAGTGTAGCACGCATACTATTTGCAGGATTTTTTGGAATATTTTCTACATCTATAAACAAAATTCTTTTAGACGCACAAATAAAAGAATATAACACAAAAATAGCAACAAGACAGAACACATACGACGAAGAACATAACAATGCAGACACAACACCAACAGCACCACAGTTACCACCCCTACCACATAACCATCCATTATCCCTAGTCCCACGTAATTTTCGAAATTTAGCCATAACACATAATAATTTTAGACCAACCATATCACAAAGTCCCATCCAACATATAATGCCACACCACTCACAAGATGAAAATACTTATGAACAAATTATAGAACAACCCCATACCACCGCTTTTCAGTCTCAAAATAATAATTTTTTTAGCCCACGATGAGCCGACAACTTGGATCCCTACACCGATCAAATTCCCACCCAACCAACCTCACCACTCCAATCCCAATAATACCACTTTTTGCTTTTCCGCCACCCGATTCCCCATCCAGTAATGTAACATCCGGCATGAATTCCGATACTTATTCACACATCTCAGTTTTATACTCCATCTCACAACTCAATAACCCGAATATTGAAACCCCCGATGAATTTGCCGACTCTGAACCATCTCCATCAAATAATTTTCACACCAATTCCTTAAATTTTTCCCAACCCCCTTTTCAACCCATACTACCAAATAACCCTGACCCAACCAATTCTACACCCTCTTATGCTTCCCAAGTCACTCCAACCTACTCCTCACTTCACTCAAACCAATCATCTCATTCTTCAGACACCCCCCGAATCTCCCCAGAACTAGATAATTTCATTACCCTACAACAACAATCCTATCACCTTGACACCCCAACCATAAACCAAATCTCATCCACAATAGATTCATCCAACCCTCCTACCCCTACACCCTCTTCAATTTATACTGATTCATTAGCACCATCATCCACAAATACTGTATCTTCACTCAGCACTAATAGAGCTTACCGCACTTTTAAAAGGAAGTTCCCCAACCATCCTTTCCCAGCGAAACCAGGAACAGCCCGTGAATATATCAACCATCCACAACACACTAACACAAAAGAATTTTTAGCTATCACCTTACCCTCATTTCCACAATACACCTTAAACACCCCTCATGACACTAACGAGACACGTAACTTTGTAGACGAATACGTTTTAATGCCTACCCTTCCTTGGACCTCATATTATCATTTTACAAATCCCCTTTGCTTACCTTTATCTAACACTCATATCGATTTAGAACGAAATAAGGACATGCTATATCGACTCACTACACCACTAACACCTAGACAATTTACTTACATTGGATACAAAAAATCACTAAAAACACACACTGCACCCCGAGCTAATGAATATACACTAGAATATTACGATCATAACATCATCAGAACTAACCAAGATCAATTCTTAGACGACGATCGCTTCGCTAACCCACAAATCACCGAGAAATTTTTCATTAAAACACCATATGTATTTACACTAAATATCTTCGATCGCAAGTTTGACCACATTATCTCAGAAGCACTAACAGACACGCAAGCCTACGAAAGTTTTAAAGAACGCTTCCAAATATTTTCACTAACCTTTCGTTTCCTTGCACCACATGAAAGAGATTTGCACTGCTCACACGATATTATGTTGCGCACTAAACAAACACACACATATACTTATTATCGTTTCATCCAAAATCACTTTGACCTACACACTCCCTCCAGACAACCACACCATCGTTTTCAATTCATCAATTCCAAATACACCTCACCATTCTTTCTTAACTTCACATATTGCATTAAAGATACTAACTTTCATGGTATTCTTCGAAATTATGATCCCATAACCCAAATGTATATCTTTTGTCCCATCACCAAGACCTTCAACGCAGAAGAATCCCGACCCTTCCTCATCCCACACGAGTTTGTACAACCTATAGAAATCCCCATTTTAGAATTCATCCATAACACTAAATTCAACCACAAATTATATAATCTAATCCAAAACACACCTTATGAATTTGCAGTTGGCACTGAAGAACTAACCACCATTAAGGCACTTCAATTGCTTTGGCCACTGCTTCAAACTAAAAATATCATCCGCATATTAGCCAAACTACTAACAACTTCAGATCTCATCCACGACATTTTCCCCCACGGTTTCTTCCCCGACGACTAACAGGTAAGTATGAATTATCCATATTACTAATTAATTCAAACATTAGAAACTCACCATTCTTTATCCATGTTTTCTTTAGAATTTTAGCCTTCATCCTAGATCATCTGAAAAATTCACAAAAGAAAAACAAAAAATAGCAAACTTCTTCAAAACTGTTTAAGACCCTATTAAATTTTTGCACCAACAATTAAATAAATATAATACCAATGCAGTAAATTAATTTATAATTTTTTCCCCCACCAGCAGTAAATCTAATAATGATGAAAATTTGTAACTTAATTTCCCCCAACAACTAGCAGTAAAATTAAAATTCTATGTAGTAAATTCATAAGAAGCAAAAGCAGTACTAACCTTTTGATATTTTCATTCACTCGCATAAAAATTCTATCCAAACTCGCACAGCTCGCCCACGAAGAATTGCTTAAAGTAATGAATTTCAGTTCCAAGCTTTCACACTCGATAACTCTAACACAAGATAACATGTTTCAAACTTTACTTTAACCCGGTTGGAAAGGAATTATATACTAAACAAAACTAACCAATGCAGCTTACTAAACACCACAACACATAGCATAACAGCATGACTAAGAAAAGGAAACCAACGGTACCCAAACCGGATTAACCCAGTTTAAAACTGGATAATTTATTCTTTTGAAGACTATTATAAAGTCTAAGAAAGAAATAATAAAACACAAAAAAGTCGAAAGACAAACCCATACCACAAACAATTTGATTTTTGAAAAAAGGACACAACCAACAAAACATAAGAAAAACCACAACAAACCCAACATAAAACGTTGTCACATAACAGGACCTCTCACAAAAACCGCATGCAATCATACTCCCACTCCTGGCCTAACCCACCAGGAAGGAAGGACGTCCTGAGCATGCTCTATAGCCGGCCTAACCCACCGTGCTACATCCACGCTTTGTGACCACACTCCTATTTTTAATAAGAGCTACTCAAGGGTGAGTAACTCTTCAAAATAACTGAACTAAAACAAAAAGCTTTTGTGAAAACAACTAACTAAAATCATAATTAAAAAATATTAAACTAATAAAAGTTTTATAAAATGTAAATTACATTATGCAATACATAGATCAGAATACAACACCAAGGACGAACATCCAAAGACAAAACGACCCTACTACACTCGAGAAAGAATGGCCAACTACAATCAAAATGCCGCCCACAATCACAACTCAAAGGATTTAGAGTACGACTTGACTTCGCAGAAAAGGACTTCATTGAACTAGACCAATGACCACCTCGATGTTCAAGTATACGTACAGATCCGAGTAACCAGGCATCCCCTCCACGCACAATCTCCACGCCATTCCCAGACAAGGTCAAACACAAAGAAGTTCTCACCAATGAAACAGAAAAACCTGACATAGCCAACCATTCTGAAATCAGATTTGAGTTTGTTGCGAAAACCCAGTCGTTGTCTTGAGAAGACACAATGATTGAATCTGGGACTTCTCTAATAAGAAAACCCAGAAGAAATAAGATGTTCGCCAAATACCAACGTCCATCATCCATCTTTCGAATTGCAGAAAAACTATTCTAAAAAACTCTGTAAAACCCGGATGGGTGGAACCTGATCTAAACTACATTTTATGATTGGATAAATTAGATATTTTACCAATGTAAAGTATTTAATATTAACCAATCATGATCCATCTAACTAACAATCCACTTATTTGTAAGTGCTGAAATTACTTGTAATTTCAGCACCAGAGAGATTTGAATTTAACTTAGAAATTAGTTGAACTCTCCCGAGTACTTCAGCAGCCGCAATAAACCAGTATACCCTAGATCTATTGAGCCTAGCAGAGACTAGTTAAACAACCTGAGACTAGATAGTATAAGAGTAAGATTAGGATCGGTATTAGACTAAGAAGTTGCACGAATCTATCCGGCCGAAAATAAGATAGCGTGACGGTGTACCCTATCCGAAATTACTCTATGAGTTATACCCATCGATCATAACTCATTTTGAAATTCAGAATAGCGATTCCCTTCAACAATCTGATTCAACCTATAGCGCTTCCAGCAACTACAGTTCAGGGAGGTGAAACACTTGTTACCATGGGGTGGGGGCTTACACTAGGAACTGGAGAGAGTGGCGTTTTGAGACATGTCAAGGTCAAAGTGATCCCGAGAGACTTATGTAACGAGTTGTTTGGAGGCTACGTTACAGAGAACATGATCTGTGCCGGATACAAAGAGGGGGGTCGAGATGCCTGTTACGGGGACTCCGGAGGACCTCTGGTGCTTCAGAATCCAGGTGGTTTCTTCGAACTCACCGGAATTGTTTCGTGGGGAGAAAACTGTGCTTTATCTGAAAAGCCAGGAGTTTATACCAATGTGATAAAATACATCAGGTGGATCAGAAACAATGGCGGCAAATTCAAGGGATGAAAACCATCTGAACACCTCTAACAGAGACACCTGGGTGGGGGTTGGGTTGGATTACTAGCAGGGCGGGGGTTGGGTTGGATTACTTTTTATCGTCATAATAGCAGCAAACAATGATAAGTATTACTCTGGGCTCTACTCTGTTCCTATGGTTGTGGCATGGGTTAGGTTTTTTAACTATGAAATAATAGTTTCAAACAAACCAAAAAACTGCACTAATTTTTCTTTCAAGAAATAGTTTAACTGAAAAAAGGCAGGTCAAATTGCCATCGTGGATTGTTTTTGTCCTGTTATGTATACATATATAATTCATATTGAGTTCAATTAGTTTATATATAGAGTTTGATTTCTGGTGCCACTGGTGCTAGCCAAGACCTTGGTGCCATTTGATTAGTACCTGTCAGCGGTGGTCGTGTACGCTTGTCATCTGAAATAGTTGGAGCTATTATGAGTTATGATTTAAGTTGAGGACTATCATTAAGAAATTTACCGTATTGATTTCGCGTTTTTCACATGGTGCAGCAAGCAGGTTACGGCGGGGACGGGAAAAAACCTACTCGGAATTATGGCATTTTGGCCTAGCAGGTGCACGGAAGCACCAATGCTGTGGGAGCACTGGATTACCCGTTTTACATGGGGGCGGGGGAGGTAATAGTGAAACATTCGTTCAATCCGGCGGCTTTCTATTTCGCTCGGACGTTGACCGACGCGCAGATTGCGGATCTTCCGGAGGAAGTGAGCGGAAAAAATCGTCCGGAGGCGGAACAAACCCTAATTTCTAACATTTATCTTTGTCTGGGGGAACGCGGCCAGGAAAAAATTCACAACCGAAAGCCTCGCCTGGATCTGGCCGCTACCGGATACCCACGAGTGTTAGACGAATTTGAGAGCGTATTCAGGAAGGAAAGAAATGAGACATTCCAGACGTTTCAATTACTAGCCCGGAAGCAACGGGAAGGGAAGACACTGGAAACGTTCCACTCACTATTGAGCGGGTTAGCAGCCAGATGTGCTTTAGGAACTCTAGAGCGACGAATTTTACTGAGGTATTTACAGTAAATATGTCTAATAAGGAAGCAGAAACGGAACTCTGTCGTTCAACCAAGACACCGGATGAGGTCTACTGATTTGCCTGGTCATATAAGCGAGGGGACAAATATGCCAAAACGTATAAAACTTCCGTTGGTGGTTCCGCGGCGGCAAGCGCGGGGGCGTTGCAGATAAAAACATAGCCAATTAACGCTTTTCAGGGTGGACGAGGGTTTGGCAGAGGCAATAACCGGGGCGGCGGAGGAGCGGACCGGAAGTGTTTTAACTGCGATCAGAGTGGTTTTACTGCAGAGCATATTGCTCATGAACAAGCATGCAGCAATGCTACGTGAAATTTTTGTCGAAAACCGGACATTATGAGCGGACGTGTCGGGGTCGCAGAGCAGCAAAAAGGGGACGCGTGGGGTTGATTGACGAAGATGGCACCGAAGGAGAGCTTCGTCAGAGCGCTCCGGAGGAGAACGTATCAAATTAAGGACTCGAACGCGGTAACACATAGATGGGATTCAGATAGTACAACAAATTATGTTGTTATGTCGGTTCGGCGGAAACAGGAGGAGGAATTGAAAGTCGCGGGGCAAAATTGGCGTTACGAATCAACGGGTACGCAACCCAGGGCTGGATTGATAGCAGATCGCCTAATTCCATTTTACTTTAGGGTAACTAAAACGTACCTTAGGGACTTGTAATGTGCGTCTGCAGCTGTTGGATCCGAAGGATGACCAGTTCCGGGACTACGAGAATAATCCATGAAGTTCATGGGAACGATGGTCGTTACACTCCAGACCAATGGACGGACAACAAAAGAAAACATCAATATATTCGGAGGTAGTCGGCCATCCCTCATTGGCCGGTTTTTGATGTCGGAGCTGGGGTTAATGTTGGTCCAAGCACCAGCGGAGCATGGGGTGCACAATGTCCAGAAGCAGGGCGAGACTGCGGAGCAAGGAGAGGATCTTGATGATTGGCAGAAGCATTTCAGTAAGCCATTTCATCTTTTTCACAGGGTAGGGCTCAGTCATAACTATAAAGTTCAAGCTGAGTTTTTCAAGAACCTGATACCAATCCAGCAAAAGGCAGAAGAGTGCCCATAACGTTGCAAGAGATTGTAGACAAAGAAAATTATAAACTCTTGGCACGAGGGCATATTCAAAAATTAGAAGAATGTTCCGATAAATACTTTGTCTCCCCGATCGTCATTACTGTGAAAAAGGATGGCTCGCTAAAACTGGCAATAGAACCAAAAGAGCTGAATCAGCAAGTCCATAAAAACAAAAAAAAATGTCCTAAATTGAAGAGCTAATGGACATTGTGGGGCAAACGATAAGTAAACGAAAGCAAGGGATGTTTTTTTTTCAATAATGGACTTGACATACGCTTACTGACAATTACCTCTAAATGAAACTACTAGCCAATACTGCAATTTTTCACTGGAAGGTGGTCGCTCTACCGGTACGTACCGATTTAAAACGGGATTTTACGAGTTAACAACTCTGCCGGCGGAATTTCAACGGGTGATGGACGCATTTTTTTTGGAATTCCCGTGTGCGCACGCATTTATCGACGACATTTTGGTTATATCGAAAAGCTCTAGAATTGAACACATTGCTCTAGTAGAAAAAAATTTGAAGAAAATTGTTGAAGAAAATATGACACTAAAATTAGAAAAATGTAAATTTGAAATTTGCGAGAACTGAATGCGAATGGCTGGGCCACCGGATCACGAAACCTGGTATTACTCCGTTGGTTCGAAAGACGGATCCGATTGATCAACTGGCCGCTCCGAGGTCGTTATCACAACTAAAGTCATTTATGGGTTCGATATATAGTCTTCACAAATATCTACCATCACTAGCGGAATGTTCAGTGCCATTGCGACCGCTTTTAAGCCAGAAAAATTAATTCCTGTGGACAAACGTATGTCAGTTAGCGTTTGAAATGTTAAAGAAACAAGTCGCGAATATTGTAGAATTACCACACTTTGACGTGCATAAAGCTATCCGAACTGTGTGTGATGCGAGCCATAATGGCCTAGGAGCAGTCCTTGAACAGCTCGGTTCAGAAGGATGGCGGCCTAAATCGTCCCGGTTTTTGAATGAGTTTTTGAATTATTCAACCAATGAATTGGAATTGTTGGCCGTGGTCTGGGGTTCGGAATACTTCAGAAATTACATTTTTGGTAGGCAATTTACTGTGGTAACAGATAATAAAGCCTTAGTAACCTTATTAAATGGAAACGATAAGAAAAACAAAACCATGTTTAGTCGCCTGACCCGCTAGATTGATCGAATTATTCCATTTGATTTTGTTATTGAACATATGCCAGGGGCCTGCCCGATAATTTATCAAGGCATCCGGTGGGGGAAGCTACGCGAGTGAGCCTTCATGCTAATACGTTCACAGTTGCAAAATTGAGATCAATTACCAATTCCCTCGGATACCAAGTAGAGAAAACCACCTAAGTGGCCATTAGCAAGTCAAAAAATTAATTGTTTCAGCAAATGAGCACAAAATCGGATCAAGTTTCTACCGGATGAGGGCGGAAAAACACGTGATCATCTTTTGACCAATCATAATGCAGCAACGCGTATAATTGAGTGCAATTACCGCGAAGGCGCGAAAATAGTCAAATCGATTAGCGAGTGTCAATTACGTCAGTTTGCCGTCAATCCTTTTTCAAACAACAAAGACGAACACCAACTTGAAAAAATTAAATAAATTACTTTTACGATATCCAGAGATTACCAGAATGAGCATCAGGGAGGTGGAAGTGTTCGATGCGAGATTGGAGGAGGTGACGACAGGAACCAGAGATGTGAAATGCAACAGTGTTAATTCCATTCCATCGGCATTTGGGGGGGGGGGGGAGTTGTTTCCTGCAACGTACCCGGCAAACGTGGTTATGTCCGTATTTCAACGGGACTGTGAAATTGTTCGGAAGAACGACGCTTTGCCAGAGCTATTTAATCTCAAACTAATGGAGGCCAACTACATGGGAGAGCCTCAAATGAGTGCTATCAAGGAATTGGTGCAAACTAAAGATCCAGAGATTGAGAAGAAAATCCGAGCAATGGGTGCTTATTTGGGATAGCACAATCACGACTTTCACGTCCGTGAAAATTGTCTGTGGATGGACGAACGACTCCTCATCCCGGTTCCTCTGAGAAAGGCGGTGGTCAACCGAATCCATTGTTTTCATCACGGCCAGACAAATATGTTCGATGCGGCGAGGAACGTGTGTTCCCCTACATCCACCGGAGTTTGGTGGCGGTCGCGGATGGTGGCAAAGAGTGCACCGAATCAGGTAAAAGCCTTAAACCAATGTGCGCCAAATTTGATATTGGGAAGGTTTACGAACCAAGGGAGCCTAACGAATGTCTGCAATTAGATTTTTGTGGCCCAATTAAGTATCTAAATCAGTCAAATAAATACGTTTTTTTTTGACGGTGGATCGGTTTTCGCGATGGCCATTTTGGCGATGATTTCGGGAATAATTGGAGTGATAAAGTTCTAAGGTTTATGAAACAATGTATTTCTCATCACGGTGTGCCTAGAAATGTTTTCATGGATCAGGGTTCTAGCTTTATGTCAAAAGCGGTAAAATCGTTTGGTAATTCCGAGGGAATAGAAATTGTCTACTCCCCCCACCCGTAAATGATCACCGAGCCACTGGCTGTGTAGAACGTACAATTGGCAGTCTGAAAAATTTTGTTTTAACTTCCGTGAAAGAAAAAGATCATGGTAATCTCGAGACTATGGTAGAACGCGCGCTTTGTGCTCTTAGATTTGCTCCTAACGCTACACTCAAAATAACGCCGTTCGAAGCACATCACGGCCGGGAGGCAAATACCGTCCTCCGGAATCTTACGAAAAAGCCATCGTTACAAAATCTCAATTGGGAGAGAGTACTGAAAAAATCTGCATGTTTAGATTCTAATGACTCGCGCGCGGTA